AGAAAAAAATTGTCACACAGCATTGAACCTGTCCTCCACCTCCTCTCCCACACACACACACACACGCATCAAAAACCAAAAAGACCACTAAAAAGGACAGTAACCAAAAGAAACTAAACAACTACAATAGTTTAATTTTTTTTTAGCTTCTGTAATAGGAGAGGTCACCCAAAAATATACAGATACATAAATCAAGTACTGTTTACACAATTTACTGAATTCTAAGGCGTAAGAAAATTAAATAGTATTTATGGAGTGCACTGTGACAGAAAATCTTACCCATCTACATCCTTTTCTGGAGCTACAGCATTAGTACAAATTGCAGGATCAACTGGGTTTTCAGAATCAGGTGGAAGCTGAACAATAATGCCATGAATTGTTGAATCCTTGTTTAGTTCATCTACAGCTTTCAGAACCTGAAAGTAAAAGAAGAAAGGAGCATAATGCTGTTCAGAAGACTAGCCCACATATTTCAAGAGCAGGATGAGAGTCACATACAAAAATTCCACAGCTCTTTTTATAATTATACTACCCATGCTTTTGTTCGCATAAATCAAGCTCTATTCCAGGTTACTTGACTGCTTGGAAAACTGACCTTGAACCAGACAACAGAAACACTACACAATTTAAGGTATTTTGGTTTACTGCTACAATAGAACATACCAGCAGTTCTAGGCAAATCAATTCTAGGAACTTAGTGCCTTAGTGCCTGGAAATAGAACTTTACACAGAATTGAATGAGATTGACGAAGGGACATTTCATGTACTAAGGCTTCAAGCTAACCTGCAGTAAACCATACAAATCTACTTTCATTACAAGCAAAATCAAATTCAATTCCAGGCAACACAACCACAGCACCTTGACTTTAACCACCTTTCACAATCACACCATCTGCAAAACCACACTATATATAACTGAAGTTGTTTAATCAGGTCATCTATAAAGTGTTAATAAACGTAGTTCTCACATCTGCTTGGGTACAGGTTCTTGGAAGCTTCACATGCCTCGCCAACATCCCAATCTACAAAAAAAAGGTAAGAATCATAATTTTGTCAAGCCTTTGACCCTTTACTCTTTATACCCTAACATCAGTATGCATATTCTCCATACAGTTCTCTATACATTTCCTAAGGTGCTGACAAGGAGAATTTGTTTAATAATCAAGAGCTTCTCTGGTTGGTGATCATTTCCTTTATTCTCTTGAACTTAAAGTGTGATTCAGGGATGATATTGTAAGGAGAAATTAGATACTGATCACTCTTAGAAGTTGAAGGGCGAAAGCTAACTGACGTGACAATTTTCTCTTAACAATGTAACTTCTCAAGCAAACATCATGGTCACAAGAATAAAGGAAAGTAAAAACGAACTATGGAAAACAGAGACTTATAGCTTTGGGCAAAAGAATGGAATCTCTTAGACACTTCTTTTAAAGAAATCAACCTCTTTCTCAATTTTAAGCATAGAGTGAAAAATCATGTATTTAGTAAAGTTAGCGTTGAGATTTTATCCTATCATGTTTACATACCTTGTTTGTTACTTAGTTTTTATGTTTCTAATCTATCATCTGTTTATGATGAATTTTATTTATTATTATTTTACAGGGCCTCAGAGAATACCACTCTCCAGTGATGTGAGCCCTCTGTATAAAGACTGTTATTATTATCATTATTATTATAAATATTATTATTATTATTATTACTTAATGATAACCAACTGAAGAAGCTCTTGATTGTGAAACAAATTCTCCTGGTTCCACACCTTAGGAAATGTTTAGAGAACAATATTGAGAATGTACAGACTGATGTTCAGGTATAAAGCAATAAGGATTACAAATAAATGTGGATCAATTTCTCATTTGTTCCAGAATTCCACCATCTAGTTTCGCTTAGAATAGTTATATTTACCTCTTCTGCTGCTTTGACTTTAGACTTGATATAAACTGTTGAGTCACTTCGGTCACCAATCTGAAGGAAAAGGGAGCCATAAACAATTTATACCAAGCACAACTTTACTCCAAGGAGTGATTAGAAAGGAATTTCCCCCTAGAGTTTGAACCAAAACGAACTTCAATATAAGTTAGGTATTCGGAAGCGAAACGGGAAATCCAAACAGACACTTACTCTAACACAGAAAACTGTAGTCTTACGGCAAACGACAACAACCAAACGATAAACAAAAAAAACTTCAACTACTCTTCTCTAAAAATCGCACACGTCAACATTAAAAAAGGGTCCGCGTGATTTGCTTACGAGATTGCTTCGTAACCTCAAAGCACGCGCACGCGAGTCGCGCGCGCACAAGTTTGTTAACGTCTTCTTAACAGCAGGCAAAACCGTGGCAGCTGTTACACCAGCTATAATTTGGAAGATAATTATTGCTTACTTACATGTATCATCAGATTCTCAGAACTAAAATTGCATAAATATGTACTAGCTGGCAGTTTTAACTGGTTACTGCCTCATACTGGCAGCTCAGTATTGATGTTAAGATACCATACCTGTACAATGGCAAGGCCTGGCTTAAACCCTGCATTTTCTTCTTTGACAGCCGCAACATCTTCTTTCAACTTCTGACGTATCTCACTGCAAAAACAACACAGGGCTGGTTTACAATCTCTACCAAGCAATAAGTGACATGACATGATTTTCTAATAATTATTGTTATATACTGTTTGCCACTGCCTGTCCACAATTCATTTTAACTCCAGGTCTGTGACCCAAAGCTGTGGAGAAGAAGCTCTGACAGCCCTATCTAAATTTGCACATCATATTTATGCCCTGAGCAAGGTCTTGCCCTTATGCATGGAGTGCTGCATAAACCTTGTAAAGTCATTGCTCAGAGTCTTGAATATAAAATCTTAAACTCAAAGGATACTGGTAAAAATGCCTGATCAGTTAACCCTTCCACACACACACACACACGCATGCACGCACACACAAGAGCTCATTAGTAATTATCGCTACTTTCTCCTATACAATTCTAGCCTGTGAACAGGCCTTTGGTCGAGCAAATAGCGAAAAGGCCTCTCTCCCCTTTCCTCAATTCCCCAAAGAAACTTTTTTTTTCCAAACAGAGCCTGTTCACAGGCTAATACAATTCTTATTGTGCTGGCTGGGAGAATTTGGTATTGGATAAACTAACAATCCTATAACTGATATTTTTATCCCTCCCATCACTTGTCTGTTTGATATTGTTTTGGTATTGTAAGGAGAAAGACAGTCTTGGTCACTCATGGGTGTTGAACAGTTAGGAATTTCAATTAGAAACCTTAACCTATTACCAAATTTTGCAGTTCCTATAGGTACTAGATTGATAAGATTTACATAGAAATTAAATCAGTAACTCTCCAGGAAGCTTTTGAAAAGGAAAGAGAAGTGATCAAGACCTGAGGGGGGTGCCCCAAAAATTGGGGTAACACAAATATAAATTTATGTTAAATGAGGAGGAGGCAACAATGGTTTGAGAAAGAGGTACATTTGGCTTACATTCAAAGGAAATACCGTAAGAATCTATCAAATACAGGTGATCACTGAATGACCTCTAGATAGTGAGGTCTAGGGTGTAGATGATTGAAATTGGATCGTTATGGAAAGGCGCGCGTGATCACCACGTAGCGCTCTTTTCTAATTAACTCGATTATTTAATTTCCACTTCTGAAACAATATTACTTTTTCCAATGAACGTTCCATACTGTTATTAAAATCAGTGTTCTGTCCGTGGTCGACTAGGTAAATTTTCAATTAAGATATCATCGGATAATGCTTCACAACTACAAAACACACTCATACGCTGTGCACGTGGAAGGAGATCAAGCGATCACGAAAACTTCGAGAATCACAAAAGAATCAAAATTCATAGCGTATTTAATAAATTTCTGTTTACAGATAGCTAGGGAATGATTTCAGTACCAATGTCTAGTGAAAAAAAACTACAAAACATATTTTACCTTGCCACTTCTTTGCCAAGAAGTAGATGAGCCTCCGAAGCAACTTCAGCCATGTTGTTTGGCGCCAAGAATAATTCCCACAATACATATGGGGCATTCCAAAAACTGGAAAATCAGGATTTGTGGACACGGAATCTGTATTTTACGTGACCTAGTTTGGCCTCTGGGTTCTGTCTCCTGTCAAAACACAAACGTTTTCCGTCTGCTTCGGCAATTTGGCCTTGCTTCTAGAAAAATAACAGAGGGAGTAAAGCCACACTCCTTTGTGCAATGAGTTATGATGCAACAACAATAAGGACCTTTTAGCCAGATTTAAAATGTTAGACACTTTCTCTGAGGCCTTCTTTCTACTCAACCTCGTTCCCAGGGCCTTTTCACTTAGCTGGGGGGTGGGGCCCACCCCCAACTCCACCCCCAACAAAGGGAAAAGGCCCTGGGAACGAGGTTGGTTTCTACTCTCACCGCATTGTTTTTCTATCGTATGTTATTACATTCTAATCGTCACTACGAGTGTTACACTGAAGTAAAAAAAAACAACAAGCCTTTTTCAAAACAATGCTAGGGTTGTTCAGCTTTGCTCAGTGTTTTTACAGCACCGTTTCATATTGTTTTCATTTTCCCGTGCGTAGAAAATCTCTGGAAAGCAATAGCTTTCTTTTCAAAGAAAATGTTTTTAGGTAAATAAGAAAAATGATAAAATTGAAATATGATCATTACAATAAAGATAACAATGATAAAAATAATAATGCATGTAATAATAATAATAATGATAACATTTATGATAATTATAATAAAAATAGTAGTAATAATAATAATGATGATGATAATGAAAATGATGATAATAATTGTATACTCCAAGAATCAGACAAGCTTGGTTACAGACTTTCTTTATTCAGATCATACAAATTATTTCTAATCAATTCGTTTCCTGACAAAAATAGTCTACTCCTACAAAAATCTAAGTTTGAAGATCGCTTTCAATTATCTTTATAACATAACCAAAGTAAAGCGCGCGCTCTGATTGGTCAATTCAGCGTCCAACATTTGCCCATGGGTGTACGCTGCTGACGCGAGCAAATGCAAAGACTAGTTTTCCGCGTGCGCTTGTTTTTTTTGGTCAAGTAAGATTTGTTAAATAAAAGAAAACTCTTTTGATACAATGTATCACGGTTATGTTATAAAACAAATGGTATGCGCCACAGTGTACACCATTGAGTTGTGGATGCACTTGGGAGGTTTGCTAAGCACTCAAGAAGCAAGAGTCGCTCTCGGCTATCGCCTTGCACGACTCTTATGCTTCTTTAGTGCTTAGGAACCGTCCCGTGTGCATCCATAACTCAATAGTGTACGCTGTTGCGTTTACCATTTGTTAAATAGTAATTACAAATGCAGACTGCATTCGACTAGTCGATTCTGTGGGGACTTTATTGATCTGCAAAAGCCATTCGATACTGTCGATCATTATATCTTATTACGTAAGATGGCTCATTACGGAATTCGTGGTATAATCAATGATTGGTTCTGTTCGTACTTAAATGGAAGAACCCAAACCACTCAGGTTGGTGCCTATATTTCTAAAAAAGAAATAACCTCTTGTGGAGTACCACAGGATTCTGTTTTGGGTCCTTTATTGTTTCTGATTTGTATTAATGATATTTACAAGGCTTCAAACAAACTAGGATTCTACCTATTCGCTGATGATACAAACCTGTTATATGCTGATAAGAATTTAAAATCACTTGAGTTTGTTGTAAACGTCGAGCTACTTAATGTCTGTGACTGGCTAAGCGCTAATAAACTCTCCTTAAATATAAAGAAAACTAATTTTGTTATCTTTCATCCATACAAAAAACGCTTAGATTATGAAGTGAAACTTAATATATATGACAACCAAAGTAACAGACTGATGAGTATAGAACGTAAATCATATGTTAAGTACTTAGGGGGGTACTAATGGATAGTAATCTCTGTTGGAAATATCATATCAGCCACATCGCGTCAAAGATCAGTAGTCATATAGGTATAATATCTAGATTAAGGCATTTCACTCCCTTCGTGACTTTGCTTAATATATATAG